CATACCAATGCCTGGCTTATTTAAAATAATGATTTATTTTTATTTTATGTGTATGAGTGTTTGCCTGCGCGTAAGGGCACCACATACATGCCTGGTACCTGAAAAGGGCACAGGATACCTGGAATTGGAGTTACAGATAATTGTTAGCTACAGTGTAGACACTGGACTCTAAGGTAGGTTCTCTGCAAGAGCAACAAATGCTCTAACTGCTGAGCCATCTCTATTTATTTTAAATTAATTTAATTTTTTTTGAGACGGAGTTTCTTTGTGCAGCCTTGGCTGTCCTGGACTAGCTCTGTAGACCAGGCTGGCCTCGAACCCAAACCCACAGAGATCCAATTGCCTCTGCCCCCTGAGTGCTGGGATTACAGGTGTGCTCCAATCTCTATTTTTTTTTTAATGTACTGTGGACTTTGTTGATGTAATTTTAAAATCTATTTTATTTGGGTTCTTAAATCTACCACCCTTCTCCACCTCAATCCCTTCCAATACCCCAACAGGTAGGAGAGACAGAAGGTTAGTGGGGAGAGGGGTCACTGAGATCTTTTTAGACTACTTCCCCCTGATTATGAGCGTTGAGTTTCTTGGGGCAAGTCCAAGCTTTGTCTCGTCAGGATATCTCCAATTTCTTCTCGTATCTTTTCCCTCAACCACTTGACAAACCAGAAACAGCAGGAACCAGCAAGAGGAATAGCCTTGCCTCTCTTGGGGCTGTGGTCTTTTTATACACTCTCGAGAGTCCCCAAATTTAAACTGTCTTCAGCTGACAGTATCACATCCATGACAGAGCAACCCACGAGTCTGCTGCTATGACTAACCTGAACCAGCCCCATATCCGTCACCTGGGATTAAAACAAAACATGTTAACATAACATAACTGTTTTGTTTTTTTAAGACACCAAAGTTTTCACTACGGGATCCCTTTGTTATCACTCTGCTAAAGCCTGGACAATGGGACTATGTGAGTTTTTGTTTTTTTTTTTCACTAATATACACTATGTTGCAATCGTACAAATGTTTTAAAAATGATGTGTATGTGTTGCAATGCTTATAATATACTATAAAGTTATCTATTTCTTTAAAATTTTTTTTTTTTTTTTGTAGCACTGGAGCTTGGAGCACGAAGCTTCACAAACATGAAGCAAGAACTCGACCATTGTCTTTGAGTCTCATCTTCAGATCATATTTGTGGTTTCTTTTTGTCTACATTTTTTAAAGATGTTTTTCTTTCAAGACAGGGTTTCTCTGTGTAGCCCTGGCTGTCCTGGTACTCTCTTTGTAGACCAGGCTGGCCTCGAACTCAGAGATCCACCTGCCTCTGCCTCCCAAGCACCGACATTAAAGGCGTTGGCCACCACTGCCAGGCTCTCCTCTGTTTTAAGAGAAGTATCTTGCTATGGCGGCCAGACTGTCTTTGAAATCTCGTGCTCAAGTGACCCTCCTCCTTTAGCCTCCCGAGTGTTGGGGTGAGCCTGCGCCAACACGCCTGACATGGTCGCTCATGGCACAGTCTCTGGCACCATGAGAGCTTGTGATTTGTTGTCAGCATTGCTACATTCCAAGTGAAGACTAAAAGGAGGTTGTAATTTTGTGTCTGGGTACACGTGTGAATGTGGGGGGTGTGTGTGTGTAATTCATTTTTTCTTTGAGACTGAACTTGGAGCAGGGCTGGTAAGCACCTACGATCCCTTCTGTCCCTCGACCCCAATGCTAGAGGGACAGGCACAGGCGCCTTCTTATGTGGATGCTGGGATGTGAACTTGGGCCTTCTTCCTGGTGCAGCAAACACTCTTATCCACTGGTTCATCTTTCCAGCCCTTAATGATGTATTTGCCTCCTTTGAGTTATTTTCCTCTTGAACTGGCTGCATAGCTGAAGCTTGACTTCATGCTTCTGATTCTCCTGCCTCTACACTCCAAAAGCCTGGATTACAGATGCGTACTTCTACGCCCTGATAATTTGAATTTTTTTGTGGAATCCATAAACAAAGGGCTAATTCATCCGTAAGGTAGAGGATTTATAAATGCTCCTGGGAAGTCCCAGCTTAAACCAGAGGCTGGCCAGCAGGGGGAACCATAGGCACAAGAGTGCGGACTCGTTTTCACAATGGAGCTGGGCCCAGTTTTAAAATCTGAGGAGCCATCTAGTGACAAAGGACCCAAACGATGACACCCAAAGTCCTATCTGCTTGCCACCTGCTGTCCCTGCTCTGGCATGCTGAAAGGACATATAGGGACAGATTTGATGGAAGGCCCCCGAAGAGCCTTGTTGTCCCCTGAACTAAGGTAGGAGGAAAGGAGGGATATTAAGGGGGGAAATTGGAGGGCTTGTCTGTGCTCCCAGATCTCAAATGTCAAGAACAAAGGAAGTAGGTCCCAGAAGAGTTCTAGGAAACACTTGTCCTGTACCTGAGGGCCGGGGCTGGCCATAGCTGGGTACCACATACCCTGGGATCTGGCAGACAGCTATTTCTCTTCTGCTGGGGCAAGCTGTTCTTTTTCTTGGGTGTGCCAGCTGGCAATGCCTCTTCCATGTCCTGCCCCACCCCCAGCTCCTTTCTAGAGACTTCGGAGGGAAGAGGGCACTGATGGGGGAGGGGGACGAGGTTCTCTTCTGGGGTTCTTTGTAGAACTCTGTAGGTACTGGCTGGCTGGCTGCCAGGCCTGACTCCCAGAATGACTTAAGCCAAAGACCTGCCTGTGGCTGCTCTGGGGCATGTGCTGAGGGGTCATGCCTGTACTTTTGGCTCCTGAGCCTAACCGTTCCTTCTTGGGGAGGAACTAGAGAGCTGCCCCTTGCTGGCCAACCAGCTGGTGGGCTGAAATGAGACTGAGTTCCTGGCCCTCCGGAGTCCATCCTCCACTGCCAACAGCATACGCGGCACCAGCTTATGCCCCAGACAGACTCGGCAGCTCTCCCACGTGGTGACAAGAAGATACAGCCTAGACAGGGAAGCGGCACGTTCTGCATGCCAGGGCAGTGTCCTCCAAGGCCAGAGACATCAGATCCCCTCAACCTGGAATTACAGAGGTTATAAAGCACTTGCTATGGCTCTGGGAACTGAGCTCAGGTCTTCTGGAAGAGCAGCAAGTACTCCTAACCACCGAGTCATCGCTCCAGCCATGGCAGCAGAGGACAGGTGTCAGAAGAAGAGGCGTTGAGAGACGCCTCCTTTATCTGGACAGGCAACCACAGACTCCCATTTTCCAAGTTCCTGTGCGAAGAGGCCTCACCTGGCTGCTCCCTCAGCTTGGTCTAGAGCCATGGTTCTCAACCTTCCTAATGCTGTGGCCTTTTAATACGGTTCCTCATGTTGTGGTGACCCCCCCCCCACTCCAACATTATTTCCTTGCATCTTTGAAACAGTAACTTTGTTACTGTTATGAACTGTGATATAAATGTTTATCGGATACAAAAACCCTGTGAAAAGGTCATCGGACACAAAAGGGTCTGGACCCACAGGTTGAGAGCCAGTGGTCTAGAAGCCCTGTCAGGCCAGGAGAGACGGCTCAGCAGTTAAGAGGGCTTGCCGTTCCTGCGGAGGACCTGAGTTCAGTTCCTGGCATCCACACCGGATAGCAGATCAAAACTGCATATTAACTCCAGCTCCAGGGGATCCAGTACCCTCTTTTGGGTCCATACACGCATGCACAGCCATGCACAGCACACACTTGCCAACACACACACACACACACACACACACACACCCCACATAAATTTTTAAAAATTATTTTTAAAGTCCTTCTAGATGCCTTGTGGCCTGCTTCGTGCCTCTACTTGAGGGGGGAAGACCTCAAAACGAATGCTCAGTAGCTGGGACCATCAGACACTTACTTTATTGCTCTAGGACTGGGGGGGGGGGCAATGGCAGATGACTGAGATGATCAGCTCACCCTGGGTGGGCTTGGGGACCGCCTACGGAGGTACATGTTACCCTCAGGCCCAGGGAAGGCTGAGGCTCCCACGTAGTGGGCCATGGTGGGCATGTGAGTCAAAGCCCAGCTCCACGGACATTCTGCCTGCTGCCCGGGTGTCCCAAGTCTGCTATGCAGGCACTCGCGCACACCCCTCCCCCGCTTCCTGTAGCAGGCTGCAGTCTCTGGAGGATGCTTGAGACACTTGGCAGCAACTAGTACGCTGGGGCCTGGACTCTGTGAACTTCTCTTTGAGAAAGAGTGAGACTCTGGCAAACCGGAGGGGACCCTTCCTGTGGCTGAGACTAAGAGAGGAGGATGTGTTCAAGTTTCTGAGGACAAGGGCTGTTCCAAACACTCTGTGTTGGATTTGGGCTCAGTTTGGTCCCAGGGTAGAGGCTGTCCCTTCTGTGTGTCTCCCTGGAGGCGGCCAGCCAGAGTACATACTGAGGACGGATGGGAAAGGTCTGGATAGGAAGTAGCAGTCCCCCCCAGGGTTCACAGGGCACATGGGAGGAGCCCTTGTGGGCTGTGAGGGTAAAGACGGGAGAATAAATACAGACTTCTGGGAGCGAACATGACTGGAGTGGGACAGGCCAGCAGAGCACACAGGAATTAGATAGGGTTTAGGGAGGCGGGATCTTTGACATGTCACACTGGCCCTGAGCGTTGCTAACCAAAGCTTTTAGCTCTCAGCTGCCCCCAGAAATCAAGCCAGACTGTGATAGTCTACGCCTTTCTCTGAGGGCCAGGCACATGAGCAGGGATGTTGAGCTTGCGAGCACACTCGAAAGCTGAGGTTCGAGTAAGTTGGCGCTAGGGGGCGCGCTGTCGCTTCCTTCCCGACACGGCCCTTGCTGGGCCCCTGTGTGAGGAGCGCGTCCACCAGGTAGCATCCTGGGTGCATTCCCCAGCTTCCGGCTAACAAGGACTTTGATTCCCCAGCTTCCGGCTAACAAGGACTTTGGCTGAGTGGCGTAGGAGACAGTTAGTGTTTTCCTTCTTTGACCTTTAAGATGAGCCCTTTATGGGCAGCCAGCTGGGACTCCAGTCCAGGCAGAGACTGGAGCTGATGTTGGGCACAGCTCAAGCCAGAGCCATTGGCTTGGAGCCGGGGCTGAGGTACACGGCAGGGCTGGCAGCAGCCGAGGAGGAAGTGGGTTCCAGTTCCACAAAGGCCGAGTAGAGGGTGCTGAGGTGCAGGTCTCCCAGCGCGCCGGAGCCCCCGTTGCCTGGAGGCCCCAGTTCACCTGTCTCATTGCCTGTTTCTGCCAGACAGGGCCCTTGGGGAAAGCACTGGGCTGCTGGTGGGGGTGGCAACATGGAGGCTGACGTCGGGGACGAGGTCACTAGTACCAGGGGGTCCAGGGCCAAGCTGTCATCCTTCAGCTGCTCCCACAGATTTCCTAGTTGGAGAGGAGCAGGGGAGGAAAGAAGCGTCGTCAGCGGCTGGTGGAGAGCAAAGCCTCCCACCTAAGCGTCTCAGGAGCCTCAGAGTTCAGCTCCGAGGTAGCAAAGTGTGAAAGCCGTAGGTGCAGGGAACCCTGCAGAGGGATCGCTACCCACAAGTTGAGAACCACTGCCATGGTCGCAGGTAAACTCTGTGCCTCCCTGGGGGGAGGGGAGGTCACTGGAGGAGATTAAAGATTTGCCTATCGGAAGGGTTCCTGCAAAGACTTACTTGGGGGCTGCTAGGCGCCCCCTGAAACTCTTCACTCAAGCTTCTGCCTGGGTTCCCAAAGAAGGTGGGTTTGCAGCCTACAATCTTCCTACAGTGCCCTGCTAGACCTGATGAGGAACATAGACCTGGCTCCCTAGTCCTCGCCTCTCACAGGACCCAAGGTGCAGGGACAGAATCAGAAGGGACGCGTGACCCTGAGGAGCCAACAGCGCTGCCATTGATTGCCCTCGGGGTCATGTGACCTGCCTTTTGGCAGGCCACTGACTGGAGTACATGAGTAGAACATGTACTTTAAATGCAGGGTCGAGAAAAAGACCTGACGACTCTGGCTGCTCTTGGCCATCTGGGTCCCAGTCCTAACTCCTTTCTGGCCAAGTGACCTGTGTGTGGCATCGCTTGCTAATCCACAGGTCCAGACAGGGAGCTCACAGGTAAAGCTGTTTGCAAAATGCCTGGTACTCAGTAGGAGCTTGAGTAGGTATTAATTAAAGGCTTTGTTTTGGTTTTGATGCTGGGGTAGTGAGCCTAACTAAAGCCTGGTGCATGCTAGCCTAGCCACATCTCCAGCCTTCTCTTCTCTCTGGTTTTTCTAGAGAGGGTTTCTCTGTGTAGCCCTGGCTGTCCTGGGCTTGCTCTGTAGACCAGGCTGGCCTCGAACTCACAGAGATCCGCCTGCCTCTGCCTCCCAAGTGCTGGCATTAAAGGAGCGCACCACCATGCCCCACCATCTCCAGCCTTCTAACAGATATTTATAGCATCCCACGAGTCCATGGCCGCCTCTGCAGCTGCCTGCTCTCTGAATCCACAGCAGGTTTGGAATGAAGATCTATGTGAAGTTATTTCTAATAGTCTAAGGTATAGGTCAAGAGCCTCCCCCAAACCTCCTATGGTCAGTGGCAGCCCCTGAGGGCACCCTGCCAGTTAGCTGGGAAGGGGTGGGGCTTAGAAGGGACAAGGTTGGGGCTTGGCTGCCTGTAGGCTGGAGCTGGCAAGATGGCAAGAAATAGATAGATTCCCACCCCTGTCCCCTCTCTGGGCTTCTAGACTCAAATCTCTCTAAGACACGCCTAGCTCTGAGATCTCATATTCTGTGGAGGGTCCGTCTCCTGCACTGAAGGGTGAAATCTAATAAAAATGCAAATGCTTTTGGAATGTTCAGTCTCCCAGCCTCAAGTATGCCGTGGAACTTATGGCTTTTCCAAGCTTTGTCAGAGATGAGCGGTTTGTTGAGGAAGTCATCCCAAACATGTTCAGGGTGCCAGGAGCAGGAAGATAGGGGCAAGAACAGTTTACCCAGCGTTCTGGATGGCAGGGGGTAAATGTGTAGCTTCAACGCTTACTCCTAGTCATGGGCCTCAAGTGACCAGGAGCCAGCAGGTGGCAGCCTGGAGACGTGGGCAAGAGCACCTCTCCAGCCCTGTCCCACCCTTCCTTTCCCCACTCCCAGCTCACCCTGGAAGTCAAAGTCGGTGAGAGAGGGATTGATGGCATCCAGGTCGGTGCCAAGGTCTCCATCTGGCTGCAGAGGATCGTGCACGGTCCTGGCTGGGGAAGGCTCAGCCAGCAGCTTGGCACTGTGGCTGGGTGGTGTGTGGGCAGGAAGAGGCGAGTCCTGGGGGGTGCCTGGCTGGGCCTGCAGCTCAAGATGCCCATCCGGCTGGGGGAACAGTGGCTGCTGGTGTCCAGAAGGGGCCAGGCTGGGAGAAAGGTGTGGGTAGGTCTGCCCATAGCAGGAGGGTGCGTGACCACCCAGCAGGTCCTGCAGCGGGCTCTTGCCAGGCATGGGAGCTGGAGCTGGGTGCATTGCGTGCAGAGGCTGGGAGAGACCAGCGGGAGATGCCAGGGGCCGGATGGGGCCTGGTCCTGCCAGCCCAGGGGGTGGACAGCCCAGCAGCGGAGAGCCCAGTTTCTCCCTCTTGTCTCCAATGAGGCTGTCTAGCTCTTCTGCAAAAGAAAACTTGATGAGGCCTCCCTCTTTTACAGCCCCCCCTTCCCCCGCCGGGCTCCTCTTCCTGCCGGTGCCTGCCGGCCTCACCTGGTTTGGCCATGCTTTTTCGCACAGCAATGGGGTCCTTCCTCTTCCACTTCTGCAGCTCTTCCTGCATCTTGTCGATTTTGGAAGGGTTGAGGGCCCACAGACAGCCCTTCCGAGAGGAGCTTCCTGATTTGTTCTCCACCTTCTCAAAGCACTTGTTAAGAGACAGGTTGTGGCGGACAGAATTCTTCCAGCCGTCGGGCGCCGTCTGCCAGAGTACAGCAGAGCGAGAATTCAGGCTGGGCTCAGGCATCGAGAAATGGCTCCAGGTCTGGGTTCCAGAACATTCCTTCACCAACTCTGGACACAGAATTTCTACACACTCTGTGGTTTGATGTCCCCAGCACCAAGAACATGCTTGTTTTGGGGAAGGCTTAGGCAGGAACCTTGACTGTAAGCTGGCTTTTCAGCTAAAACCTAAAACCTGCTTTCATCCAACCTAGCTCTTCGCCCAGACCCTTCAGAGGACTGTGATCCTTTACATGTTTATTTGTTTATTTTATGTGTGCATGTGGGTGCCTGTGTGTGTCCATGTACCACATGTATACAGGAGGTCCAAAGAGGTCATTGAACCCCCTGAAACTGTAGTTACGGATGGTTGTGAGTCATCATGTGGAAACAGAACCCAAGTCCCTCTGCAAGAGCTGCCCATGCTCCTAACCACTGAGCCATCTCCCCAATGCTCTTTTTGTTTGTTTGTTTGGAGACGGGGTTTTTCTGTTCAGCCTTGGCTGACCTGGAACTCACTCTGTAGAACAGGTTGGCCTTAAAATCAGAGACTCACCTGCCTCTTCCTCCCAGTACTGGGATTAAAGGTGTACACCACTACCACCCAGCTCTCTCCAGTACATTTTACCACCACTGGTTTTTGTGATGAGATCTTACTTGTAGCCCAGGCTGGCCTCAAGCTCGCAGAAATCCTGATCAGAATCTCTTGAGTGCTGATATTGCAGGCATGAGCCAGGATGTCTGGCTTGTGACCCTCTTTAAGGGACAGCTGGTAAATGCCACCTAGGCCTCTGGTCTATGTCCTCATTGAATCAGGACTTGCCCACTCTGTGTAACTACTTGTAGAATGGGGAAGATCACTATTTTAAAGCCTCTGGGGTAGGCAGACGGATTGCTGTGAGTTTGAGCCCTTCCTGCTCTACAAAGTGAGTCCAGGACAGCCAAGGCTACAGAAAGAAACCCTGTCTTGAAAACAAAAACAAAAAGTTTCTGGGGCCAGTTTTAAAGGGAGTCCAGCAGAATGCCCCTCCTCTGGGTCAGCCTCATCCCTCTGGGGCAAGCTGGGCAGAAGAGGGCTGGTGAGTAGGTGAGTGTTAGACCACCTGTTGCCTATGTTAGACCACCTATCTGCCTGTTATGGCAGATGTGGTGTTGGGAAAGACAGGGGCAGTAGTATGTGGGTGAATGTGCACCAAAGTCCTTAGACCTCTCTTGCCGTGAGTGGCATCTCCTACCACAGGTCTCCTGAGGGAGGGTGGCTGCGTGTGAGAAAGTGTTGCAGAGTACATGCGTATATCCATGATTGAGTGTGTGGGTGTGAGTTCGCATGAGTGTGCCCTGGAGGTGTGCCCTGATGTGGAGGCCAGCCCTCAGGCAGGGGGTGCTCGTGCCAACAGAATAAACACCCATTAGGAGGCCTGGTCATGCCACCGTGCAGTAATTGTGCCCAGGGAGGGTTGTAAAAACCATTAAGCTGACTCAGTTGGGTGAGAGGCGGTGGTGGGGGGTGTGGGGGTGAGGCACGGGCCTCCTGCCCCCGGTCTCTGGCTCAGCTGCTGCCCTGTGACCACCCTGAGCCCAACAGGGGCTGACTGTGGGCAGAGCCAACACTCTAGCTGATGGATCTCCCTCACTCCCTGGCTCCTCTCCCTTTCAGCCCCTCATTTCTGGTTAATGAGAGATGGCCACGCCCTCCTCCCTAGCTCACTTGCCCTAGGGTGCAGCCAAGCTGAATCACGCCTAGCAGAACTGGGCCCTGATGCCAGCGTCACTGAGAGTTGCTGGCAGCAGCAGCTGGAGCCTTCCTTGGGGACAGCTAGCCTGTCTCGGGGCTGGTACTAGTGACCCCCAAGGTTCGTCAGGGGTCACCAGGAAGGATCTTGAGCTACCTTCCCACAGCTGTCTCTACTAAGAGCCAAAGCTCTGTCGCCCCATGGGCAGACTTAATGGGCACTGGGAACTTTTATGGTCCTATAAACCTGTGACTTTGGGATGCCAGGGCAGCCCCCACCCCAGCCACTTCCTGTTTGGAAGAGGGATGGTCAGCACTAACAATTATGCTCAGTGGCCGGACACTTCCTCAGTCCCACATCCCTGACTCATGGGACCACAGGACGCTCACAGCAGCTGCCGTGGTATGAGTTCTGTCCACTTTAGAGTCCACTCTGTCCTTTGAGTACTGCCTGAGCGTCCATTCTGTCCTTGCCTTGAAAGATGACCTCCAAGTGAAGATCGAGAGGTTTAGGCTTTGAACTCTTTAGGGAGGATCAGAGGGAACCTGTTGGCTTGGAAGGAATCTATGAACTAGCTGGTCCAGGCTGACATGTTAAAGAGGGAAACTGAGGTCCAGAGAGAAAAGAAGCTGGCCTTGGATCACATAAGGAAGTGATAATAGGGCCTGGTCTCTGGCTCTGTTCCCCAGCTGAGGGCCCTGCCCAGGTCATCCTATGGAGCCTGCCTTGCCAGAGGGGCCCGGTCCCATCCTCACACATTCTCTCTGAAGTCAAATGTAAACTCAGGCATGAGGGAGTGATGCAACCGGCTAAGAAAAACAACCAAACCAAAAAAGCTGTCAGACTTCTTCACTCCTCAGTCCCATAAAACAGGGATTACACGGCTCCCAGGAAAAATAATTAAGCCAGGAAGATGAGATGCAGGGAGGGGCTGGGGGGAAGGCCAGGAGTGGGCAGGGAAGATGGCCCAGAGGGTGAGGGAGGGCCCTCACCTCCCTTTCTCTGACCAGTTCTTGGAGGACTTTGCTGCTGCTTTAGGAGGTGGGGAGCGCCTATCTCTACTTGGAGATTCTGGGGTTCAGGAGCACCCCAAACATACTATTTAGTGTTTCTCTGTCCTAGACCATCAAGCCAGTGAACTTTTCCATTCCAGTCAGAGCCATGCTGAAAGACATTCTGGTGGGAGCACGGGGGCGGGGGGAGCTGTCTTCCTCCTAGGAGAGATCATCCCCAGGCAGGGCTATGGCGCAGATAGTGGGGGCAGGAATCTCCACTGCCTACAGAGCTGGCCCTGGACTGCCTGGGCCTCGGCTTCTGTCCTGCCTGGGTTGTGCACGAGACAGTATCCACCAGTGTGTAAATCCTGAGGACTGTCCTCCCTAACAGACGCTCTTGTCTGCCCTACGCCTTCAGGAGAAGGTGTCTGTGCAGGAGGTTCTCAGGGGACCTGTGTCAAGGCTAAGGGGGCTGTGTGTGAGCCAAACGTGAGTGCTCGTCCCAATGACTGATCCAATGGTGCTGTCATTGTGGAAGGATGGATCACTGCCTGACAAATTTGCTCACCTGGAGAGAAGGGTACCTGTCATATCCCCAGGAGGTTGGACCTCAGCAGGCTCATCCAAGGCACCAGCTTTGCAAAGTCAACCCAGGGACTCCTCAGGGTTAGATCAAGGGTCAGGGTGATCTCGTCTAACCCCCCAGCCCTTGTGTAAGAATCTTGCTGAGGAATATTTGAAAATCTGCTGGGTGGGATCTCCACCTCATGCCGCCAGAACTGTTACCTACCAAGGAATCCCATGCCTCAGTTTCCCCAGGATCTCTCTCGGTCCACTTCCTGTCCCAGGGGTTCTGGGAAGGAATTACTGGGAGCTGCCTGAAGTCTTCCTCTGAGGGGAATAGGAACTAATGCTGCACATGGGTTTGGGAGACACCCTAAGGCTGTGAGCCCCACTTTCGGGTACAGGCGAGGCTCAGTGTGCCACCCATAGTGGCAGGCACTAATCTTAACTCTGAACGTTGGTCGGTTCCAGCACTCCTGCCACCTTAGCGAACAGCTCCAACTCGCAATTCCTCCAGCCCCAAGGCACCCTGGCTGAGGCTGGAGACACATTACTTGTCTTCCTCTCTCAATTTGGGGATAGGTAGCTGATTCCCAAAGCCTGTCAGGACTGACATCACCCCTTGCTCCAGCTTCCCCTGTGTAAGCTGGAGCAAGCAAGATCTGTCTTCCCCCTCTTTGCCGCTGAGGCTGGGGTTGGGGACCTGGTGCATGGGAGGTGAAGCTCTCTTTCTGAGCCTTGTGCAACCCTGAAACCACACCCCCTTGGGAGCTTTGCACTCACTGTGGACACAGGGGAAGCATCTTCCGGCCACAACCCTTCTTTTTTTTTATGGGGGCAGGGGAGGTGGCCCTTAGACTCACCTTGAAATAAGGGAAGTGCTCCGTCATGAAATTGTAGATCTCGCTGACTGGAAGGCTTCCGGTCTTACTGTTCTTAAGGGCCATGAAGATGAGGATGCTGCAAAAGAGACTTCCTGAGAGCCTGGCCCATCTTCTTCGGCTCCCTCACTGACAGGCTCTGGAGGCCAAGACTGAACTATACGAGCCTTTTGTGGAATCTGGAAAACCAGATTGCTCTCTGACTTAGCTACTAGGTATGTGAGCTCTCTGAGCCTGTTTCCTTAGTTTTGAAAAATGAAGTAGCCAGCTTGACCAATGGGTCCTCAGCTCCTTGTGTTAGACAATAAGGCACAATAAGACAATAAGTGTTCTGCCGGTACTCTCTCATAGAAAACTTCAACTAGGCTGAATCGTCTCCCCCTTTCCCTTCTAGACAACCAAAGAGTTTCACAGCTAGTAAGAAGAAGAGCTGTTTATTGACTTTTTTTTTTTTTTAATTTTGGAAGAGGGGGAAGGCAGTGAGGACCCTTAAATCCCCATCTAAACTCTAGCAGCGGGTGCTGGGCCCCAGGACGGAACCGCACAGCCTGTCTACCCAAGTCAGCAGCAACCGGGTTCACCCAGAGTTAAGACTCCTCAAGGTCCGACAAAAGGCAAAGGTTATGTATCTACCTCCCCACCTGCAGGGGTCATTCTCCAGCACCCTTGGAGTTACTGGGTGTGATTTCTATTCCCTGAAACAACCCTCACATCTTGAGGATCATGGTGCCTTGGTTTCCCCGAGGGCCCTCATTGCTCCTAGCTCTGCCCCAGTTGTCCTAGGACATGTACCTGTAGGAGTAGATGGGCTTGGGGAAGAGTGGCTGGTGCCCGTCAGCGCTGGCCTGGGGTGCGATCCTCTGATAGGGATAGTGAGCTGAGCCCAGGTAGGGCACAGGATAGCTGCCCCCACCTGGGGAGTACTGCAGAGGCCAAAAGGGACAGAGTCATCACCACGATATCAAGCCTGCCCAAGGGGGGGTGCTCCTTCTCATTCGTACATATCCAGAGAAGGAGCTGAGACCACATTCTCCTGCCGTTGGTCATGGACCTACATCATACCCAAAGGCATGGCTTAGTAGTGGGCAGTGGGATGAGTCTGGGAACTCAAAAGGTCTCAGAGCTGCCTTCCTCCACCTCTTTCCTCTCCGCCTTTGAGGTACCCTGGTTGCCAAGGTGATGGGGTGGGATGGGGAACAGCCCACAGTCCTGTGCTTTCCAGGCAGGCACTCCAGGCCTCCTGTGCCTCTCCTGGAGCACCAGGCCGGAAGTGGGATGTCCAGCCTGGGTGTGTTCTAGGCATGGCCACCTTTACGAGTTTCAGTGGCTCTTTGAAAGCGCCGGTCATGATGGTGGGCAGGTGGGGGTAGGAGGTAGTTTTACGGCGAAGGGAGTGGCTGCGGTGCCAGGAATGGTGTTTTATGGGGGCTGGGGGTTGGAGGCTCTGACTCCCCCAGCTGCTCCAGGCTGAAGTGTTCTTTCCAGGTCACCTGAAAGACACTTAGTGCCTGAGTCACCCTCTCTCTGGGCTCCATAAAGCCCTGGGTGCGGCCATCTTGTTCAAGGATGCTGAAGGATGCAGAGGGCTTCAAAGCAGGGCTGGGCATAGCATGGCCACTTTGAGTCTGCTGGTCACCTTCATCATGTGGTGGCTTGGTCCCTGATGTGGCAGACTGCCTCAGGGAGATCCTCTGCCCTGAGTCAGAGCAGGAGCCTCAGAAAAGCTTAGGCCACTGCAGCTAGGCCCTTTCTAGAAGGGAGGATGTCCCCTCATGTCATGTGTTTCTTTGTCCTTCTCTGTCACTTTCTGTACCAACAGGCAGCATGACCCCCCCCCCCCACACACACACACTCCTTAGCCTGCCTCCTGCCTTGGCTAGAATCAGGACCAATGCCAGAGCTGGAGTAGAACCTGCTCCACAGGCAGGGCCTGTCTGAGTGCCAGGCTGCAGGTGGATGGAGCCGAGCGCTGGGCAGCCACTTGCTCTGTCTTGCCCGGTGACTCCAAGGGAGCTGCCTGGCTGCTCTGGGGCTCTTTTCTGTCTCTTTAAAAAAAAAAAAAAAATCCTCCATCTCTTGCCAGTGTGGGGCAATTATTTAGCATCTCATTCATTCTGGAAGGGCTACCCTGGGCAGTGGGTGGCGTGGGAAAGGGCAAGGATGGTGAAGACCACAGGAAGGACTCCACCCTCACACTTGTGCCCACCGACCCCAGGCCAGAGGGAAATTTGAAGACAAGGTCACACAGCAAGGTGTGACCTAGATGGGAGCCCTTTGTTCCCTCCCTGTTCGGCCTGTGTGTCACGGCGCACACCCCTTTCCGCTTTGCTCCTGTCTGTCTGTGATGGCTCTCCTCCCTCCCTCGTTGCTTCACATCGTGACTCTACCTCAGTGTTGGTTGCTGTTTCTGTTTGAAAAAGAGCCTCCTATCAGCCTCCACCAGGGGTTCAGAAAATCCCGAGTGTCCCTAGAAAAGGGTGATTGTTTCTCTTCCCACTAGCCACTATTCTTCACCTGGGGTAGCCCAGTCTGAGGCCCAGGACCCTGATGTCCTCATGTGCCCATCCACATACACACACGTACATGTACTTGCGCACACAGCAACACCCTCCACAGCAACACACATACAATGACACCCATACACACAGCAACACTCATACACACAGCAACACCCCACACAGCAACATCCATACACACAGCAACACCCCACACAGCAACATCCATACACACAGCAACACCCCACACAGCAACACCCACACACAGCAACATCCATACACACAGCGACACCCCACACAGCAACACCCCACACACAGCAACACCTCACACAGCAACACCCCACACAGCAACACCCTCTACAGCAACACCCACACAGACAGCAACACTAATGCGCGTGCGCGTGTGCGTGCACGCACACGCGTGCACACACACACACACACACAGCAACCCCCACGTGGCTCCTGGGCGCTCCAGGAAGCGTCTCCAGCTGCCCTGGCTTACCTGATGAAAGGCAGGCTGAGAGGAGCAGTACATATGCTGCAAGGGAGGCTGGTAGCAGTACATCCCAGGGCCGCTGTCCACAGCTTGGGGCTTGACCTTGACCTCTGACCCCTGCTGAAAAAGAAAGGGTTTTTTTTTTTTCCTCCCTTTCTTCTTTCTCCCGTCTCGAACCTCACACTAAAAGAATCCTTTCTGATTCTCAATGCTGACTTTTGGGGAAGGAACAGAGATGGACAGGGGTTTTCCTTCGGGAAATCAGCAAATCAGTGGAGGGGCCAGGCTACATCCCACCTCCCTGCAGGTGACAGGCAGGGTAGGCTGGGCCACCGGACAAATGGAGGAGGCTCGTCAGGGGTCACGTGGACTTGAGTGGGATAGACATCTTTTAGAGGCCAGCGTGGCGTGACGTCCTCAGGGCCTATCCCAGAGCCGAGCCAGCTCTGGGCTGGCTAGAGACAGCAAGGGTGTGCACCTAGGACCTACCTGGCCGATAGACAAGCCGGGATCAGACTGCTCTTACTAGGATTCCCAAGGGCCTTTGGGAAGCCAGCATTTGGGCCCAGAGAAACGAAAGCTAGCCAGGGCCACTTTCTGGTGTGCCCCAGGGCAGCTGATGCAGAGATTGCCATAATCTCTGGATCTCGGGCCTGGAAGGACCACAAGCACCATGTCCGACCCCTTCATTTCATGGGCGATGGAGCTGATCCCAAAGAGGGGAAACTGTGCTATCAGTCACCAGAGAGTGGACCTGGCAGCTGTGGGCTCTGGGTACATCTTGTCTCCGTGTGCCAGGTGGGTTTCCGTCTACGGGTTGGGGAAGTCCTGGCAAGTTATGAGGCCTCAACCATGGAGTGCCAGGTCCTGAGTCACAAGTCGTAGATAGTGGGAACGCTCTAGAACTCAGCTCTTGGCTGAATGACTAGGAGCTGCACTGAGTGGACAATGGAAGACAGTTGCTGGCTTGCTGGGTACCACATTCTAGAGGCTTGAGAAAAAGCTGCCGTGGCTCTGGAGACAGCATAAGATCCTTTGTTGGCCACACCTGATGGGTGTTCGCCTATTACCTCCTCTCCCTTCGTGTAAGAAGTGGCTGAGGACTAAGAACGGGCCTATTTGAAAGCAGGAAGTGAAGAGGGTTGGTGGATCAGAGCCCAGGCTGACCCCACTCAGTTACTGCCTTGGGATCAGAGATAGGCAGCAGGAAGCAAGTCCCACTCTGCTTCCCAAAGCCACACTCCTGAGACAGGAACCCTTAACATTACTTTTCCCATGAGGCTCAGAGAGATTAAGGGGCTTGGCTCAGGTCACAGGGCTTACAGGTCTGGCTATTGAAGATCAGCCTTCTAAGGTGTACACAGCGGTGTGCCCTTCCCAAAGGATAGGTCCAGGAGCGCACCTGTTATTCTAGCACTAGTGACACTGGGCAGAAGAATTTCTAGTTCATGGCCGGGCGTCAGGTAACATAGCTAGTTTCTGTCTCACACACACAAAAATTAAAAATGAAAATAGGGTCTGGAAGGGGTCTGGAGATACTGGTGAAGCCCCCATTTGGTGGGGTTTGCATTCCGATGCTCTGTCCGGAACCTTCTCTCTCTGGAATGTGTGTTTCCCCCTCCCATTTGCATAGGGGTGTGTTGGTCTGCCCGGGCATTCTTGGACACTTAAACAAATGTGACAAGTCACCCTCTGGAACCCTGACTTGGCATCCTCTGGGAAGACGCCAGCTTCTCTCCATGATGTGCTTCCTCCACCAGCCTCCTCCATGCCTGTCAGGCTAGCAGCCCCCTCCCCAAGGGGCCAGTATGGAGCCAGGAGGCCCCGCCCTCTGTGCTTGTTGCTTCTGTGGACCTCTGATTTTAAGACAGGGTTTCCATACAAAGGCATAGGCTGGCCTTTGTCTCAGGCAATCCTCCTGCCTCAGCCTCCTGAGTACTCGGATTACAGGCATGTGCCACCATGACTGGCTTTGAGAATTCTTTTCAGGCAGTCAGGAGAGAGGAAGTAGGAGGCCCTTGGCCACTGGTACTCACCAGAACTTGGCTGTGTTCCTGGCTGGGGTAAGGGAGTGCATTGCACCAAGCTTCTCCTGGGAAGCCAGGCAGGAAGGCTTCAGCATCTCCCACATCCACAGGAATCTCCTCAAAAGCTTCCAGTGCCCCTGGAGTCTTAAAGGAGTGTCCATCAAGGGCCATGGCCATCTGGGCCTCAGGGAAGATGTCCTCGTGGAAATGCCTCTTGTAGGGGTGGAAAGGCACATGGTTGCCCTTGAGGAAGCGCCCTGGGGTGCCTGATGGTCCCTCCTCAAAGCCAAAGCCAGGATACTTGTCTGAGGGAGAAAGGCGGAAGGAGCCTGGGCCAGGTCCGGCTGTGCAGTGGCTCTGGATCTGCTCTGGGCCTGGAGAGGCAATGCTTGGGCTGTGTGGGGGCAATGAGGGTGCCCTCTCCGGAGGACCATCAGGCACAAACGATGAGCAGCTGAAGTTGGCATGCTTCTGGGTAGACAGAGCAGAGAGAACCTATAAACGAAGGTTGGACCAGGGGACCTGCCAGGACCCTACTCTGTGTTGATATAATAAAGTCTGTGGCTGAGCTCATGGGAATCCTGAAATGATGAGCTGCTCTTGGGATTCCAGTCTGATACAAGGATACTTCTCCTAAACCTGGGGCACCCTAAGACTGATGGGAAACACCAAACCAAGGGATGAACTGAGACCCGTGTCTGAGCCCTCTTGGGTCTAGAGTCATAACATTTGTTGGTATAAGGGACAAAGCAGATCCTGGAGGCCTCTGTGTGGGGCTGTGACTGCCTACTCGCTGCCTATACAGCTACCAGGCTGGCTTAGTTAGCAGGTACTTACGCTCTGTGGGGCAGGAGAGACCGGGAGGCCCGGAGCCTGCATGAGGTCCCCTTGGGGTTCGCCCTCCAGTCGGGTGGAGCCTGGCAGTGTGACGTCAGACTGCGGAGGGAGTAGCGACACCATCACCCAGTCCTGGCCTCGAAGAAAGCCGGCTATGATGAGAATGAGGACCAAGTCTAGGAGTGGCTGACCCCAGGCCCACCACCTCCATTCCCACCCCTTCCCTAGGCTGGGACCCTGTCTTCAGCTAGCCACCCAATTAGGGAAATAGGGAGAGAAGGGAAGAGATGAGATATCTATCTATCTATCTACCTACCTACCTACCTACCTACCTACCTATCTATCTACCTATCTATCAGAAAGAGAGAGAGCCAGCCATGGTGGCGCATTGGTAATGCTGGTAGGCAAATGCTGAAGAGGATAAGACACGAGGATCATGGGAGAAAAATGAGCTATTTAGGCTACTCAGAAGAGGGGGGTTCTGTCTATTTTCAAGCCTTGCTGGTTCAAGTGAGTCAGCGAGCCACAGTTTCCCAGAGAGCCCTGGCTGCTAGGTCTCCTATGTCTATGCTAGGTGACCTTATCAGTGGCTGGGTAGGCCCTGAGAGGAGGGGAAGCTAAGAGGTGTGTCATGCCTAGACTTCATGAGACAGCAATTCCAGTGATACAGAGGGGTGGTCTTGCAGGGTGACCAAGGGACCTTGCTGGTAGGACCAATGGTATATTTGATAAGCATTTTTACCTCCATCCTTCAAACTGTTATCTGTAATTTTGTGCCAAACATTTCTCTTTTCCTTATCCCCATTCTTCTTTCCTCCCCTCCTGTTCTGTTTGAGATTGAACCCGCTGCCCCCAGCCTCCATCACTTCCCTTCTCTTCAGCTTGCCTATGAAAAGCTGAGGCTTGAATTAGATCTGAGGGCTGACCTCTTCTGAACTGTTGGAGAACCCTGACCCAGCACCAAAGAGCAGCTTGGAGGCCTTGGGGCTCGGTGCCAGGTGAGGCCATCCATCCCAAGCTGTGTCAGCATCTGCAAGCAAGGTGAGTGACAGAGCCTCGCGCAGAGTGCAGAGAGTGAAATGAAATCATGCAGAGAAAGCATGGAGCACGGTGCAAGCGCACCAGGGTTTGTTCCCCGAGAGTTGTTGCTGGGGCTCTTTCCGCTAGCAGGCTGCGTCTTTGCCTTCCTTCACCTCCCCAAAGGGCAACAGCCTTTGAGCTCATTCCACTGAGTTCAGCCATTGTGGTCTGAGGGACTGCTCTGTGATGGCTACTGTGTAGCACCCGGGCTGGTTTATGATACACTGAAGATCACCTTAGGCTCCTCCTTCCTCCATCTCCGCAGTGCTGGGATTATAGACAGGTACCTTCAAGCCCAGTTTTGTGTTCAAACCTAGGGCTTACTGACTGAGTAATATCTATATCCCCTGTTATTTTTAATACAAGTTCTCACCATACACCATGCTGGCCCCTAACTCACTATGTATGCCGGGTTAACTCTGAACTGTTGACCTCAGCAGCCCAAGGGTCGGCGTTACAAGTGGGAGCCACCATTCCCAAGCCCATTGCTTTACTGCGAGGATGGCTCCTTACATAGCCCATCTTTCAAATGAGGGAACTGAAGCCCAGAGAGATTTCTGTGATTTTCCCAGTCTCACAGCCAACCCTTGACAGTCAGAACTTGAACTAAGCTTTGGCTAGCTTAGTTAGCCCACTTCTGTGTTTGATGGGAGTCAGGGCTGGGGGTGAGGGGGTGAGGGGGTTGTTCCGGAAGCCAAGCAGAAAGAAAAGCCAAGATTTTACACTGCTTCCTTCTACCCAAGACCCCCTCAAGCCACAGCGGAGTAGCTGAGCAGTTCTGGGAAATCTTGGAAAGGGGGCAGACCTCATCTTTCTGAGCTTGGCCTAGTCAGTGGTTGACAAATCTTTGATGAATTAGCCGTCTCTAGAGAGGCTAATGGTGACAAAGAGAGAAGGGAACCTGTCCAGAGTCCCACTCCGGATTAGATGGGTTTGAGGGTGGGGCGGGTCCCCCACCTCTCAGAATCCCCACCACTTCTCTGATCCCCGCGCAGGCTCACTTTGAGCAGTGCTAAATGTGGCATGACCGGGAAGCGTGGAGCTGGCTGTAACTGGACACTCCGACAGCGCAGGCAGGGGCGAGGACACCCCATCTCTGGCTTTGCATGACTGCCTGCCCTGGCCCCTGTTCCCTGGACAGCTCAGCCTGCCAGCCTGCCATGCCTCACCCTGGCTCAGAGATACCTTTCCTGGAGAAGGTGATGTCTTGCAAACTTGGCACCTTCCAAATACAATGCCATCCCCCTCCAGGTGTGAGGCAGGATGGAGGGTTGGGGTGGGGAGGAGTGAGGCTTTCCCTCCCCATCTTAGGCCCTGTAGTCCTGGGAGGGGAGGGCACTAGAAATTCATCTTGAGGCAGATCTGACTTTGAGTCCCAAGCCTTGTCACATTCCGGCTCTGTGATTCTGAACACAGTACGTCAAGTCTGTATTTCACTTTTCTCATCTGAGAAGTGGCGCCTGTGGACCTATAGCACTCTTGAGGATTAAGTGGCATGGTGCACATGAGATGCCGATACCCGGAAAAGAGCCAGGGACATACATCATACCTCTGGCTTCAGCTGGCCAAACGGAGCTGGACCTAAGGGCCTCTAATCCCAGGTTCTACAGTTTCCGTGATGGTCTTGGTGCGTCAGGCCTGGTAGAAGTGCTGATGATGCTGTCCCCAGGTGCCAGCTGCCCTTGCTGGCCTTCCCTGCCTGCCTGGTCTTTATTTATCATGACCCCAGAGGACTCAGACACCAGCCCTGCTACTTTACAGGGTAGGGGCATCTAAGCTCCAGCTGGGCCTTCCCCTCTTGAAGATCTGTCTTTCTTAGAAGTACCCTGACTTCTCTCCTTAATCCCTCTTCCCCAGATGAAGCTATCTGTGTAAGCACTGGTGGAGATCCTGTGTGTCAGAGGCCTTCTGGTCCTAGCCAGGACTAACACACACACACACACACACACACACACACACACACACACACACAC